AAAAAAAACCATGGTAAGAGATTTTGAAGATCAGGCATTTGGGCCAACCAGAAAGAAGTTAAGATTATAATTAAAGGAGAAGAGATCCACTAATATAGAATGGAGGAAAGTATTTTGACTTTGGAAAAATTCAAGGATATTTTGTAATGACAAGTTACAAAAATAATATGAAAAATGATGTTACTCAGAATCTAATGAAACTGGCTGATATCTTAATAACTAAAAGAGACACACGAATAACAAACCAGAAAGAGTGACTTGAACAATTTTCTTACCTTGGACTTAGAAAAGAGATGTATTATAAAGGATGTTATAAGGAGAAAGGAGAAAATGAAAAGAAATCAGCTTTTGAGACACCTTTTAAGGGGAATTAACATCAAGATTTTTAAAAGCATAAATATAACATGGCTTATCTGATATATATATGTTATATTTGTGCTGATAAATAAATAAAGGGAGACTAGTATAGATCTATTTCAAGCTATTTAGCTCTAATCAGCTAGCCATACCCTTGCTGGGAATCGAACCTGTGCTGTATTGCCTCTTAGGCAGATGTGTTAACCACTGAGCTGGACCACTCTATATATAATTTTTTCTAGTAATTTTTAATGAGTTTTTCTAAACCAACACTGATGAGGCTTTAAACATATTTCCATATATAAAGATATGGGAAGAAGATATTTTTATTGTATTAGTATAAAAAAGATAAGCTATGGTGTTAAAATAATGGGTTACAAAGTTGGTTTATTTGATTAAAATGTAGATATTATTTCTAGTCCATGCTGAATTTGTGAAGGACTTTCTGAGAGGAGAAATAGAGAAAATGATAAATAAACTTGCAGCACACTATTTTAAGAAATTAAAGATTAAGATTTTAATATATTGTTTATGTTGTTTCTTAATAGATTTTTATACTAGGTCTGAATGATTGTTGATAGATAAGAGATGTTGGAAGAAGTTTTTTTACTGCATTTTTAGAAACAATATGTTATGTTAAAAGGAAAGGAAATATGAATGATTTGTTTGATTAAGGTTAAAACGTATTTTGTTATTTCTAGTAATTCTGAATGGACTTTTGCTGATTAGGACTGAATGACAAGACTTTATAATTTGTCTATAGATAAAATATAAGATATAGAAGGAGAGATCTTTTGTTGAAATGTTAGAGAAAGTCCTGAAATTGTCTTTACTTGTCTTATGAAGGGGAAATCATTTCTTTATATTTTTTTAATGTTTTCTTTTTCTTATATTTTCTTAACATTTTCATTTCTTTCCTTTTTATATATTTTAATTGTATTAGTTACGTTTGCATTTTTAAACTTTAATAAAAATTATTCTTAAAAAAGAGTCAAAGCTGGTTGATGCCTTTTTAAAAGCGAAACTACGTTCTGCCATAGAATATTCAGAATGGAGTTAATTTTCTTGAAGGTGCTATTATCTAGATATGTTTTCTCTCCTGGTCAAATGGTCCAATTGCAGGCATGGGCAGCTTGGACTCTAGAAACATTTCCCTTCATGGCATCCTCTTTGCCTTCCAGGGATCGAGGATCTTGTCCTGGCAGACATCAGTTCCCCCAGCCGGACTCAGACGGGAGACAGTAGCAGCATCTCATCCTTCAGCTACCGTGAAATCATGAAGGAAGGATCCGTGGCTGGCAGTAACAAGGTGAGAGGTCCAGAAGCCCAGCTTTCTAAGCCACAGAAACCAGAGTTTTTGAATGGTGTAGCCTTGTTTCATCTGGGATGAGTCTCATTCCCATAAATAAGGAGAATTTTCTCTTTCCCAACAGAAAATAACAACGTTTCCCGAAATGGTCCTTTCTGTCTAGTTCTTTCCTTTTCTCCATGAAGGGCAAGTGGTTTTTTTTTTCCCCCGTCGCTCCTGCGCCGCATCGTTTCTTGCATCGGTGAAGCGTGAGGTTGTAATTTACCCAAGCAAGTTTCATTTGATGCTGCAGTACCAGGGTTGCAGTCTTCAAGCTTTTAGGGATTTTTCTTTCTTTCTTTTTTCTTTTCTTTTTTTCTAGGACCCAAGGTCAGCCAGCTGAAGCCAGATGCGAAATACTGGCACGAGTGGACAAAAACTCAGCCTAAATATTTAAGGAATAGGATGGTTTTGGGTATACGCTTGCTTCAGGAGTCTGTGATCCCTATCGGAATAACACACCTGTTTTCAAATCTGTTCTTGTGTAATCTAAATTTAATGCTTTCACAGATGTTTAGAGCAATTCACACGTTGCTTAATTACCAATATTCATAATTTGTATTGTCTGCAAAAACCTGGTACCAAAAATCACTAATAGTAAATCAAAGCAAAACTTTACTGAAACATTATGTCAGTGCAAAGAAGTTAATGAAGCCTGAATAAAAAAGCAGGATGGAGGCTGATTGAAGGATTCCTAGTTCCCATCCTATGCGTGACTCATTTTGTTAAACTGCCTTTAACGTGAATCAGGGCCTAAACGTGTATAGCAAATACATGGAATTAATCATTTTTAAACATAGCAGAGAAACACTAAGATTGCAAATAGATTTGGAAACTGGGAAATGTTGGCACTTTATAATTAAAGTTATATTAACAGTTAAGAGCAATAGGCTAAGTAATAATAGCATATATTTAAACATTTTATAAAACCCATGACATTTAAAAGTGAAATCAACAAAAGAATAATTAAAACAATAACAGGAAATAAAATCTGTGAAAACATTAAAAGCTTCAACAGGAATTACACACTATTAAATGGCTTGGGAGCATAAAAATATTTTTGTATGGCAGTGCAAATAAGATTATGAAAAATGGCCCCACTCACGGCCTCACCCATACCTAGCTGGGGAGGGAATTCCATAACTGCGAATGGTAATAGGACTAAGAAGGTTTTGTTATTGGAGAGACATAGGCTGATAGATGGAAGAATACAATTTAAAATTAGCTAA